AGGAGCAGGATAAGCTGGAATCAAAGGAGTGTGTTAACAGCTCAGCATATCCTCCCCATTGGAACTAGTATTAGCCTATCACTAAAAAATAATAAATCTTTCTAAGAGGCAGCAATTGCTTTCACAGTCCATTGGAAAACCCCGTCTGGTACTATTGGAGAGGTAAAAAAAAAAAAAAAAGGCAACATACACCAAATTATATTGTTAAAACACCTACAGCCTAGTTTGTTTTCATATGCTACCCATATGTAGACACTTAGCAATAGGCAGACACTTAGAGACTCTCCTTCCCTCTGTATGTGAGTGTGAATGAGTGAGCCAGAGGTGAATGAGCTAGCCTTGTGTTTTCCTTCTGACGTTTCCAAGTGGAAAATATTGCAGAACCTAACTGGTGTGAAAATAATTAAGCTGGATAAATAAATGAATAAAAATAATAGCAATTTTTCACATATAAAAATTCCTGAAAAGTTTTTAGTTTTATCAACCCCCTTCCACACCCACCAGAGCATATGGCCCTCTGTTTGTGCAAATCAGCAGTCTTTGCTTAAAGTGGATGTTTCTATTAACACTGTGACTAATTACTGAAAACAAACATGTGTAAGTATGATCTCTGCTAACTGCCTCTGTCAACCCATCTTTTTCTTCTTGTTATTCATTCGAAGGGATTAAGATGGTTTGTAAGAGTAGGGTAGACCTCTGCTCAGCCCGTGAATAAACAGAGCCCACCAGCACCAGCTGATGTCAGGCTGCGGGGAATGTCTTTTATATTAGTGAGGAAAAAAAAAATGTGAAAAAGTTTTACAGAACCTTAAAGCACTGAATGCCAAGTGCTTCAGCACTGGACAAGGAGGGCTGCTGTGGGAACGGGCAGGAGGAGCACATCTACACCAGCTGCATGCAGGGGGTGAGCCCAGCTGGGTGGCAGACGTTGTGCACCATGGGTAACTACGCTGTCTCAGTGTTCAAGCCTGGACGTATGTGCATGCAGAAGGGCATCCACAGAAACTTTCAAGTCAGTCTTTCTTGTGGTTTTCTCCCATCCAGAAATAATAATAATGAAAAAGCATAGAGACGCAAAACATCCATTTGGTCTTTGTAAGATACAAAGATTAAAAGATGCGAGCAGATTTTTCTGCCATGTCCCACAAAAGCTGTATTTATCTGCTGCCACAGCAGCATCACAGCAGTGGGACACAGCAGTGTGTACGGCCCCTCATCCTGTTGCCTATGTGGGAGCAGAGAAGAGAGACCAGGCCCTTTGGAGCACATGTAGCTCTTATCAGAGCAGAAAGAGACAAAAACAATTTAAAGAAAAGCACCCTGCTGTGGCCCTGGAGAAGCTGCAGGGCTGATATGCTGTGGTCAGCACTGCCTACCTGCCTCAGGAGCTGTGGGATGGGGTCTTGGGGCATCTTACGTCCAGCTGTATCCACCGTAAAAACAAATTTCATGCTAGGAAATCGCACAAGTCTACATCTGCTGATTTTCTGAGCGCATAGTATGGTTGCAAGCCAACTCCCTGTCATTTCTCATCTCTTGCACTACACACAGGGTGTTTCCTTTATAAAACAACTTGCCTTTGGGTTTAACGATTTCTAAGGAAACATAACTCTGTCATTGCGCTCTGCTGTTTAATTCCTCCTTTGTCATTAGTGTCTGCCCCACACAGCCTGGGGACGCCGGCGTGCTCACTGACCTGTGCATGCACTTCGTGTTCTCTTGGGCTGGTGCCCGTGCCTGCAAGCTGGTGTTTGATCTAGACTGAACGAGATGGCCTCAGCCTTCAAAGCCAGCATGTTTACATTCCTCATTTTATCTAGCCTCTTTTTTTTGAGTGCCCCCAAGATAGGTGTCTTGCTGTTAGAATAAATACTTACCTCTTGCATTGTGCTTTCCTCTGGTGGCTTCAGCATGTTTCACAGAGGTGGGAAGCACTGTTAACTCGATTTTTGGAATGGAAAAATGGCAGCATAGCACAGACCTGCATGGCAAAGCAGTGGCAAAAACAGCTGGGAAAAAAACCTATCTCCTCTCATTAAAACCGAAGTAAACCAGCCTGCATCAGGACTACCTCGTAAACCTTTGCTTCTCCATCAGTTGCCCTTTGGTCTGAGCACATCCTTCCTTCCATCTCAAATCAAATCTTGTGCTGTAGGGGGTGGAGAGATAGGAAATGGGATAGGAAATGGGACAGCATAGCAAGGGATCTGCAGAAGTAGAATGAAGAAACTTTAAGGGAGTAGGAGGCAGGAGTAGGAAGGCAGCTGCAGCAAGGTAGGCAGAACAAAAACACAGAGCTTACCCCAGTGTGTGTGACTTGAAGGAACTGAGGATGGCCTCATGACTCAAATCTCATTAGGCTTCATCCCTCTTCGGCAACTGAAATTTGCCGCTTAGCTCCAAAGATGACAAGAAAAGAAGCAAAGCTCCCTGGTTTTCGCTGAGTCTCACCCTGAGTCACAGCAAAACAGTTACATGTGCTGATGTTACACCCTCAGCT